CTTTCCTCACTAGCATTTACTACATTATCTAAAAGTGTCTGTAGATCTTGTATATTCTCTGCAATTAGTATAGTATCATCGGCATATCTGATATTGTTGATGGGTCTGCCGTTGACTTTTATTCCAATTGTTGTATTGTGTTGTCGAGTGATTTTTTAATTATTTCTTCCGAATATAGATTGAACAATAAGTTGGAGAGTATGCAACCTTGCTTTACTCCTCTTTTTTATCTCTACTTCCTCCGAAGTTCTTTGCCTACTCTGGCTTTTGCTGTTTGGTTAAAGTAGAGAAGAGTTATTATTCTTAAGTCTTTTTTGTCAATGTGTTTATCTCTAAGTAACTGTATAAGACGGTTGTGTCGGACGGTATACCCCAATGGCACGAATAAGCTGCAAGCGGTACTAAATAATAAATTTCGCAACAAGGCGAGTAGTTCGGACTTCCAACAGATGTAACCGGTAAAAATGATAATTGAGAAGTGGATTTGTGTGCTAATAAAGAAATAAATATATCATGAATGTGTTGCTTGTGTGAGTCCATATCAAATAGGTAAAGAAATAATAATAAGACTTACTCACAATCAATTTAATTTAACAATCTGACGACCGGTTTCGCTTTCTACAATTTGCAAAGCATCTTCAGGTCGAGATACAAAGTTAAACTAATGCTGCAATAAAATAAACCCAATTAGGGTGGTGTCTCATAAAGATAAAATAAACAAATAAATTAGTTCATACAAATTATAGTAATTATGCCAATATTACATGTCTGTGGTTTTCAAAATGAATAATTTGAATATATAAAAGGTATTAACAGACAAGGTAAGGCCCACAATTGGTATAAAGTAGCAATCTTATATTGTAATAAATTAATAAATGAGCAAATAAATAAAACAAAACAAAACAAACATTACTTACATGCCGGTACTCTATTAATTGATGGATGGTAGGTCATGGTTGCAAAAATCATGTATTGTTGATTGGAGAACTTTAATGTGCTATTGCAGTTGTTTGACAATAAAGCACATTAAAGTTCTCCAATCAACAATACATGATTTTTGCAACCATGACCTACCATCCATCAATTAATAGAGTACCGGCATGTAAGTAATGTTTGTTTTGTTTTGTTTTATTTATTTGCTCATTTATTAATTTATTACAATATAAGATTGCTACTTTATACCAATTGTGGGCCTTACCTTGTCTGTTAATACCTTTTATATATTCAAATTATTCATTTTGAAAACCACAGACATGTAATATTGGCATAATTACTATAATTTGTGTGAACTAATTTATTTGTTTATTTTATCTTTATGAGACACCACCCTAATTGGGTTTATTTTATTGCAGCATTAGTTTAACTTTGTATCTCGACCTGAAGATGCTTTGCAAATTGTAGAAAGCGAAACCGGTCGTCAGATTGTTAAATTAAATTGATTGTGAGTAAGTCTTATTATTATTTCTTTACCTATTTAAATAAATATATAGCCGCTTACCACCGAGTGTTAACGAACTACAAAATGTCTGCCCTGACAATCCTATTGAATTCAGGGTATAAGTTATTTTATTTGTTCATACGCTTAAAATCACAGTACAATCAATGATCAATTAATAAGTAAAATCAATGTACTCAAAGACATTTATAAATGAAGTAATAAACATAAACATGGACAGATTTGAATGTAGTTATGAGGATCGAATTGTTTTGTAAAGCCCCTTTGTCCGCTTTATCTCGATCGACGATATTAAATACAATAAAACGTTGAATTGATGGAGTAAAAATTATGGTTTTATTGACAGCTACTAATAATTATACTATAGATGTTGGTTAGGTAACTTTCTACAATAGACTGCGCTCAAATGAGCTCAAATCCCCAATTTATAATTTCACAAATAATGTATACCTCAGCACAGAGGTTAATGCTTCTATCATACTAACAAACTTTGAACTATGAGCTTACAATACAATTTAATCTAGGCCTTAATTGCAACACTTAGGAAGTTCAATTGGAAAATATATTATTCGGCAATTTATTGAGTTGCAGGTAAATGGACTAATTATTAAATATTACACGATATGTTTTCACAATGTTTCAATTATACACGGTGAACTATAAAAGGTTAAGAAGTTAAGAATAATGTGAGATTACAAATTAAGGGATTAATTTGCGATTGAACACATAAAAATACATAAGTATTCATTAGACTTAACTAAAGCTAATATAAATTATTGAAATTATTAATAATAAGAAACTTATCCTACTAATAAATTGATGTACGACGCTGATATGTATCCGAATAAAATTTATAGCGTTTTTATAAAAATTAAGGAACAAGATTTAAGCAGATTAATTTTTTCCGCAGCATCGTCAAAGTCTATCATAAACAAACATGAAATATTATTTATTATTAACTATTTTAAGTGTTTACCCCTTAGGGTCGTTTTTGGAACAACTCGATCCAGCTGAGTTATTGGTGTGTACAATATTTTATTACTATTTTTTTAATAATCAAAACGTAAACTTTATTTCACATAATTTATTTAAAAATGATGTGGCGGAAGTAAGCCAATTTTCTGTTTTTTATGGTGTTAATAATTTCTTAGTCATTTATAGCCTCTGGAGAATAGGTATGCTATTTTTGTGGTGTATATATCGTTACCCAAGTTCAAAACGAAAACAACTTAAAATAACTACTTTTGAGAAAATGGCTAATAATTAAAATCGCATACATACAACCACGTTTTATTAAGATAAACAATTATTTGATGACCAGTATTTTTGTAAGTTTAATGTAGTTTTAGTAGACGATTACAGTATAAGTGTGTTTTTTATTTCCAACATAATTAAAATTAAATATTAGTTATGTTTCACTTTCTTCACACTCGTCACAATTACTATCGTTATTTGCTGGAATATTTTTTTTTGTGTTTTTTTTTTGTATTTTCCTGCTCCAACAAATTTCTGTAGAAATTCCAGTGTACCTTAGGAATAGCTTTGAGCTCACAAAGTTATAGTAATCCTTTCTTAAGGTTAGATGGAATAAGAATAGGTCCGGTATAAAGTTGAGATAAACTAGGTACTGATTTATTGCTTGGAGACTTAAATTTGATATTGATTGATTTGTATTCAGCATCAGAATAAGATGTCTTGTGAAAAAGAATATAAGGGTTATTTTTTTGACCATAACAATTTTAATGTCAGTCCACAGAACTTTTTCTAGTTGTTCATTTATTTATAATTGTTTCCCAAAGAGGAAGTCAGTTTTTTTAGGTCCAGAAATTCCTCAGGTGTCATGTCTTTAATTTTATAAGGATGGCCGGACTTTTTGGCTAATTCTATTATAGTACTCTGTTGAGCAGGCACATAAATCGGGCTGGCCTTAAGCTTTCTTTTTTTCTCCCTTTCTATTAAGGAATGCATATTGCCCCCTTCGTTTTGGGTATGCCCAGCTATTAAAAATTTGTATGTAATGGATTCGATTTTTTTCATAGACTGCGCACAGTACATGTACATTGCAATAATAAATTTATTTTTAATTTGCCCACTGCAATTATCAATGTAATAGTACATTGTTTACCGGGTAGGAAAAGCTTAACATTCCTGGACGACTGTGAAGATTGCTAAGTCGAGGCGCAAGCCGAGACTTAGCAACACAGAGTCCAGGAATGTGGCTTTTCCTACGAGGTAAACATACTATTTTTCCGCAAATCGTTTAAAATTCGACAGATATTGATTGATTTAAAAAAAAAACGCGATAGTTTTATTCCCAAATAAATGGTGCTTTGAAATTCCTAATAAAATTACTTGGGTTACTATGGAAACGTATTGAGGTTGAATTGTCAAACTTATAAATATACTAACAACTGTACGGAAATATCATTTCCTTACAGTAAGGAAATCCTGACTTTTTCTTTAAGAAATTTTGACAGGAATGTCAAAATTTCCTGGCGATTTGCGGAAAAGTAATATATTTTACCTGGTTCTCGTTTTGCTCTTTTAGAAAACAATACACACAACTTCCTATTTTATTTGCACCTCGTTGACCAATGCTCTGGTTCCAAAAATAGCAAACCCTTTTTTTTGTTCAATGTCATACACGGTGAGGTTATAACAAAATAAACGACTTTTATAAAAAAAAAAGTGAAACCTCTCCAAAAGGTACACTTAATACAGACTGTAAGTCATAAACTGCAACTCTTTGATTAGTCGAGGAAACAGCTTTTGACACATTTTCAGCTTTTTCTTTTCTACTTGCCTCTTTTAAATTTTCTTTCTATTCTCCCATAGCGGTATTAAAGCTGTGACATAGGGCACATTTGTCCTTTTTTGGTTGAAAAAAACTTATATTGAATTCTGTAGAAAAAATTGTAGAGTACATGTTATACTTTCCATAAGGTTTTTGTAGTATTTCACATTGTTCTTTATATAATCTGTACATAGTGGACAGGTTAAGACTTCCATCGATATATTTTTTGGCAGTTCTTGAACGACAGCAATGTGATTCTATTAAGGGAAATGAGTTTATGTGTTCACGTATGTCGGCTTTTATCTGTGGATGAATAGCCCTTCCCATGTGTCCATGTTTGCCACGTTTATCCTTTTCCAGAAATCCATCTTGAGATTTTTTTTTTTTTGGTAACGGTAAAAATCATTTTTAAACTAACGTTTAGTGTACCCATAAAAAATGTCTTACAAACTACGATTTTATTTCCATTGATAGAAAATGTATAAACGAAATTGTATGACCTTTTCCGTTCAGGCAGCTTTTTTTTGTATTTTGTTTTTAACTCAGACATGTGCCTTAAAATAAACTCTCTTTGGTCATTAATATTGCCCATTTTCCAAAAACTGTTGCGTATTTCTTGACATATTTCGTTATTAATTTTTTCACTGCATTAGAATCTGCATTTGGGCCCACAAGCTGATTGAACACTTCTTGCTGCAACTATTTTACCTTTTTTTGTTGTGAAACTTTTTTCTAGTTTTCTTTTTTTCTTTAACACATTCTTCTCCCAATTGTCTGGATTTCTAGATCTTTTTTTGTGAGAATTTTCTTACCCAGTTCAGTTTCCTCAACCATTTCTTCTGTTTCAGCAACTTTTTCATAATAGTTCTCAGCTTCATTGTCACTAGAACTGGTATTTGCTCCATAAGTGTCAGGTACAATATAATCTTTATCTCTGCTATCATCACCAACACTAGAATTTATTTCCTTATCGCCATTTTCTCTCTAAAATAATAATAAAAAAGTTAAATTATACTAAAATATTCAATTAATTTTTTTTTTACTTACCGAGTAGAAAGTTGATAAGTTTAAATAGGTTTTCTCTTGGTTTTTGTCAGCAGAGTCTTCATTAACATTTTCTTCAAAAATTGCAGCTGGTTCCTGAGTGTTTATCAACAAATCAAGCGCATTTTCATTACTATCTAATTCTACAGTAACACTACCATTTATCTCTTCAATAATATTGCAATTTTGTACCTAAAACAAGTTAATGTAATAATGAATATGTTTTTAACGCTTTTTAGGACAAATTCTTACTTGGTCGTGTATAAAAATTTCTCTCGATGGAAATTCAGCTATTGCAAGGAGAACGGATGGATAGCCACTGCTGTTATTACTTTGGTCATTATATCCAACATTACCATCAATGTTAATTTCTACTACTATATTATCCGTATTAAGGATTTTAGTAGTACCCTAAAACAATTTGAAAAACTTTTTATGTACCTATTATCAAAACAGCATGCTACTAGTTTACTACAGCTAACCGGCTTACCTCTTTCTGAAAAGTTATTTCATCCACTATTTGGTTTAATGGTTCATTTTCATCACTATTATTAAGTTCGCCAACTGCCAATAATGAAATTCTTTTACCTCTAGTTATAGGCAACATTGTAATACTTGTAAAACTTACGAAAATATACAAAATAACGGCACTAATATTGTTCTAAATAATTAAAAATATAAAGGTTAACAATTACTTTCAAACTGACATAACCTAAAAGAAACGTGACAAAGGCTGGTTCAAAACTGAAATAATTTAACTTAAACAAAAAGGAAATAGACACTTTTTAAGAAGTGCATATGAATGTATGATTTATTTCTCTTTTGAAATGGGTAGATTATCATTCTCACATAAATTTTACGGAAATATCTCATTTCAACAAAATTTTGAGTTGTTTCTGTTTTGAATTGGGGTAGCGATATGAGACCCTAAACATACGTCGGTAACACCACATCTCAAATGCCTCTAATAGTCCTTTTTTATGACATCTTCTTTAAGGCTCCAGCTTTCTACTCCATAGAGGAGGACACTAAAGACGTAAGAATTCTTATGCGTATGTTGATACCTACCTAAACATAGGAAAGATATCAGAAAAGAATTCTGCGAGCCATTGCCTACAGAATCTGCCGCTATGTTTGACGAACTCAGCGTGAATGGCGTCAAAACCCGGCGCTTTTCCTGTTTTCATTTCATTCAGGGCTTGCGATATTTCGTGCGTAAATGGGTTGGAATATTCTGTTGAGTGTGCAAGATTAGATTTTATGGTTTTGAGGTCTTTTTTAACTTTAATTGTATGTAAACGATTTTGAGGTGCCCTAGAGGTTGACACTATGTACGTAGCTATTTTGTCTGGAGTTACTAGGTTGGTTTGGCGAACGAGTGTGTTACTACTTCCGAGTTTCCGCAGTAGGGACTAAGCTTGTCGACTTGACTTCTGAAAGTCTAGGTTTTCTACTATCTGTGTCCATTTTTCACGCCTGGCAGCATCAATGCTGTGGAGTAGTTCGTTTGCAATCTCCTACTTTCCATCTTTGCAATATTCTTCATACAGTTTTTCGCTCTGTTCTGTCCAATCCTCTAGGGATTGTCGCTTTTGTTGAGGTGATTATTACTTCTGTTAGTCTCCCGTAGTTCTGGCTCTTTGGTGGAATCCATCCTAGGCATTTGTCAAGGTTACTGGTGAAAGCAGACCAGTTAGCTTTCTTAAAGTTCCATCTGGGGCGTAGGAGCGATCTTATAATCGGAATGCTGATACCGATCTTGATTAGGACGGGGCGATGTTGACTATGTGGAAAGTCAGGCATAACCCTTCATGATGCTGCTAGCGGTTGGCAATGTTGCTTTGTTGTCAATGGTAACAAAACAGAGATCAGGGTTATATTCTCTCCTCCAGGCCGCAGATCTTAAAGTGCCTCTATCTTTGGCGTCAAATAGAAGGTGGGCACCATGTTCCTCTGCCCATTCCACAAGGGATGTGCCATTTCTGTCAGTGTCTGAGTACTTCCACATCTCATGGTGGCTGTTGAAATCCCCTACGTATATGGCTGGGTGTTTATAGGGATTAACAACTTGGACAGGCCATGTAATAGCAGGAGGTTTGTATATGTTAGCTATTATGACATTGCCTATTTTCACAGTTACCTCCTGGATGTTGTTCTTGGTATAAGTGGCGATTAATGCTGCATTCTCTATGTTTGAACGGACATATGTGTCCACTCCGTAAGCTCTATCGTAGGTAGCGCCCAAAAGATCATAGCCGGAGATTTTTCCTCTTGAGCTTAGTTGACCTTCGTTTTCTGTGTGCGTTTCCTGAAGTGCTACTAGGTCAACTTCGTTGTCTTTTAAAAGTTGTTACCAATAAGCTGTTAGCACAGCTTATTGGTTTCAATAGAGATTTCTCACTATGTTAATGTCATTTTTGTAGAGTCCTTTTTTCTTTAGACATTCAATGAAGATGATGTATTTAACTTTGTCGAAAACTTTCTTATAGTCTATAACCGTAACGTAAATATATTATTGTTGGTCTCGACATTTTTGGCCAAGAATTGTGAAACTATACAGAACTTACACTGTTCCGAAGCTGTTACAAAAGGCAAACTGTCTATTACTCATGTCGGCTTCGCACTTTCTAAATATTCTTGCATGTATAATCTTTAAAAATGTTTTAAATAAGTGTGACATTAAGTTCATTCTTCTTTTCGTGCCACTCCTAGCGGAGATTGAAAATCATCATGGCCACTGCGACTTTGTTAGCAGCGCGCCTAAAAAGTTCAATCGAACTACACCCGAACCATTCACGTAGATTACGAAGCCACGAGATTTTTCTTCTTCCCACACTGCTTTTGCCCTTAATTTTGCCCTGCATGATGTTTCTTAAAAGTTCGTACTTTTCACCTCTCACAATGTGCCCCAAGTATTCCATCTTTCTAGTTTTTATCTCATTTAGAATTTCGCATCTTTTGTCTAAAGTTTGGAGTACTTGCGTGTTAGTGACGCGGCCATCCATGAAATTCTGAGAATGCGCCTATAGCACCACATCTCGAAAGCTTCGATGTTTTTTATGGTCAACTGTTTTAGTGTCCAAGCCTCAACTCCATATAACAGCTATGATCTAGCGATTTCTATTCTACATCTAATCTCTTTTGTTTGATCAGTATCGTCTGTGATCCAAGCACCTAGATATTTATATCCCGGCACACGCTCAATCGTTGTATTGTCTATTACAAGATTAGCTCTGATGTTCTTTGATTTCGTGATTACCATAAATTTAGTTTTTTTCAAATTAATTTTCAAGCCGTAACTGTTACAGTATATATTGAGACTTTGAACAAGATATTGTAGTCCTACTAGCGTTCCCGTTAGGAGAACTGTATCGTCAGCATACCTTATATTGTTAATCGTCTCACCATTTATTATCAGACCAAGATCTTCTTCCTCGAGTGCTTGTTCACAGATAGCTTCACTATACCGATTAAATAAAAGTGGCGATAAGATACATCCCTGCCGGACTCCTCGACGGATTTGAATTTCTTCTGTTAGTCTGCCCTCAACCTTGACATTTGCTGTTTGATTCCAATATAGATTGCATATAATTCGAATATCTCGGCTGTCTAGATTTTTCTTTATTAGAACTTGTCTTAGTGGTTCATGTTGTACTTTGCCAAAGGCCTTTTCGAAATCAATAAAGCAGGCAGGCTTTATTAAGTATTAAGTTCATTAATCTATAGTAAGTACAATGTTTGAGGTTCTTGGTTTTTGGTTGCGGAACAAATGTCGATAGCAGCCAGCAGCCAGCAAGTATCTCACCAGATTTGTATATGTTGCCAAAGAGTATAAATATTGCACTTAAATTGTCTTGGTCTATAAGTTTAATCGGCTCGATATGAACTTCATTTGGCCCAGGGGCTTTACCAGTTTTTGAGTTGGTTATAGCATGTTGAACTTCAGATTTTAATATTATTGGAACTTCCTCGTTATCAATTTGTATTGGTTCCGTTCTTTTGTCCATGAAAAGATTTTCAGTATCTTTCGTCCATACTTGTTTTATTTCAATTGGGTTATAAATATGTTTATTGTTATTGTTAATTAATCGTTAGGTGTATTTGTTCGTGATATACCAGATAATGCTTTCACTTTTTTATGTAAATTATATTGATCATGCTTTTTCTGTAATTCTTCCACTTCGATGCATCCATTATCCACTTTTCCTTAGCATCTTTTATTTTCTTCCTTAATAATTTGTTTTTGTCTGTACTTATCTGGGTTTTTTTCTATATTTTCTTCTTTGTTTGATAATTTTCAGTATTTCTTGAATCATGTTATCCAAGGTTTTCGACTTTTTGTTTTTTTTTTGCAGAGTTTCTTTTTGTGTTTTTATGACAGAATCTTTAAGTTTGCTTCAACATTATATTTAAATTTTTAATGTTTTTTATTTCTGATGTTAATTTCTTCATTTCTTGATTGATACATGTTGAAGCCTCAACACGGATTTCATTTATCTTGAGTAACTATGTATGCACCTTATAACTTTTGGATTTTATTATCTTTTTTACCCTCAGTTTCATTTTTGAGACAAGGAGGTTATATTCTGAGGGGACATCTGCGCTAGGAAAAGTCTTAACGCTTACAATGAAAGTTCTAAATATTAGTTGATTAGAATAAAGTCGATCTGATTTCTAATACAATTTTGTTCATTATCCTGTGGTGACCTTCAGGTATACAGTCTAATTCGATAGTGTATACTAATTCTATCATAATCTAATATATAGTGTAATATATAGATAAGATAGATAGTTGAATCTAATTCTATCAACTGTCGAGCCATATATTTTTCATAGTATTTTACATTCAAAATGCCTTATAGTGTATTTTTATGTATGAGAGAGTAATAAAACAATAAATTATGTATGCAAATCCCTAAACTGTTGATACGGGTGACTCAATGAAAAACAGATATTTGTCAACAAGTTTATAGAAGTATATAGAAAAACAATTTTAAATTGAGTATGACCACCAGGTATAAAGATTGGAGCAGAATAGAATACAATACTTGTGAGGGTTGAAGGTTAACAGGTACTAATGAATTTGCAAGAAATGTAAGATGTTTATTTTATTGGTTATATATAACCAATAAAAGTTTAATAAGTACCTACCTATTTGCAAAATAAAGTTTAATTCTTTAGATAAAATAAACGTTTATTTATCTGAAATGAGTGCATTCCACGAAGTAAGGGTTTCAACAATCAAACATTTAATTCTTTAATTCCAGGAATCTACGACAGTAATTGACTAGATAATTACCTTCTAAACTTATTCCACAGAAAATGTGATAGTGAGTTTTTCCATTTTGTAGGAAGGTCCAAGTGGCGTATTCAAAATTCTTAACAGTTCACTAAAAGTAGGTACTTCAGTTGCAAGGTGCAGTTTATTGTGTATACTAGTGTTATGGAAAATTTGGAAGTGCGGTGTAAACGCCGAAAAATTGGTCCTTTAACAGTTAATGAAAAAACATTAATATTTAATTGTTTTAAATCATTTACAGACAAACGTTTATGTGAAAGTGTTGATGAGACCGTTGAGTTAGTTAGCAGTACACTTGGTGTTGGGAA